GCTGCAGAGGGTACTGCTGCTGAGCGTCCCGGAGGTGCTCGTACTGTGGGTGCTGGAGCTGCTGGGTCTGAGGGTTCTCCTGGAGCTGGTGCTGCTGAGGGTGTTGGCGCTCAGACTGCCGCTGACGGTCCGACTGACAGTGCTCCTGGTGGTGCTGCTGGAGGTTCTGGAGCTACTGGAGGTGCTGCTGGAGGTGCTGCTGGAGCGGGTACTCCTGCTGGGGGTACTGGTGCTGTCCCTGCTGTTCCTGACGTCGCCGCGCGGCCCCGACCGTACTTCGTTCCGCTCCTGCAGCAGGTTCTTGGTCTTACACCTTCTCCTGGTCCTCCTCCTCCTCCAATAGAGGGTCCACAGCCTGTCTCGTCACAGTCACAGCTACAGCCTGCCTCCCCTTTGCCTGCTCCTTCTCCCTACACTAGTCCGACTAGAGGTCTTACCGAGCGTCGTGAGCCAGCGTCTCGTCCTGCGTCGCCTGTTCGTACTCTGCGCGCTAGTGGTCGCGGTTCGCGTCAGCGTCCTCCTCCTGTCCCTGGCACGCACCAAATGTCTCTGCGTCCGTTTACTGCTCCCCTGCGTGCCCCTTTGCCTTCTCCTCCTGCTTCCTCTCTTCCTGCTCTTGCCGACCCGAAGTCGGACTCTCTTCGTGCTGCCAGTCCTACTGTCACGCGTCTCCTTGCTACTGTTGTCACTGACCCTTCTTTCGAGTCTTCTGCTGCGTCTGCCCTTGTCACTGAGCTTGTCGACTTTGCTGCGCGCTGTCGTCTAGACTACGCTGCTAGTCTTGTCGCTGAGTCTGAGTCTGCCTGTCCTCCGTCCGTCGGGGGTGAGTGTGCCCTTGGCACGGACGTCCTTGAGGACAGGCAGGAGGAGTTCCAGTGTCTGGCCGCCGCTTCACCTCATCTCGCGTCTGTACTGCTAGCCCCTGAGGGAGACCCGGATGCACTAGACATCTCGACTCCGCGCTCTTACGCGGAGGCGATAGAGGGTCCCTACTCCTCTCAGTGGCAGGCAGCTATGGATGCAGAGATGGCTTCCTGGAAGTCCACAGGCACCTACGTTGACGCTGTCCCCCCTCCTGGGGCGAACATCGTCAGTGGCATGTGGATCTTCAGGATGAAGCGGCCGCCGGGTTCTCCGCCTGTCTTCAAGGCGCGTTACGTGGCTCGTGGCTTCAGTCAGCGGCAGGGGGTTGACTACTTTCAGACCTTCTCCCCCACCCCGAAGATGACCACTCTTCGGGTACTGCTGCACGTTGCTGCTCACCGTGACTACGAGCTGCACTCTCTCGACTTCAGCACAGCTTTCTTGCAGGGCAGCCTGCACGAGGAGATCTGGCTGCGTCGCCCACCTGGCTTCACTGGGTCTTTCCCTCCTGGTACCCAGTGGAGTCTCCGGCGTCCAGTCTACGGTCTCTGACAGGCGCCACGTGAGTGGCATGACACACTGAGGACTACACTGGCGGCACTTGGGTTTGCTCCTTCTACTGCCGACCCGTCGCTGTTTCTGCGCACCGACACCTCTCTGCCGCCGTTCTACATCCTCGTGTACGTCGACGACTTGGTCTTTGCCACAGTTGACACTGCTGGACTCGCCTACGTGAAGTCCGAGCTGCAGAAGAGACACACGTGCACTGACCTGGGTGAACTGCGCAGCTACCTTGGCTTGCAGATCACCCGGGACAGAGCACGCCGCACCATTACCCTGACTCAGTCACACATGGTGCAGCAGGTCCTTCAGCGCTTCGACTTCACGTACTCCTCGCCTCAGGCCACTCCTCTGCCTACTCGCCACTCGCTCTCAGCTCTGCCTTCGGATGAGTCCGTAGAGTCGAGTGGCCCGTATGCAGAGCTTGTTGGCTGCCTCATGTACCTGATGACCTGCACACGACCTGACCTTGCATACCCTCTTAGCATTCTCGCACGCTATGTTGCTCCTGGGAGACACCGACCAGAGCACATGGCTGCAGCGAAGAGGGTGTTGCGCTACTTGTGCAATACGTCGGGCATGGGGCTAGTGCTGGGAGGGCGCAGTCCAGTGGTCCTCACTGGGCACGCGGACGCTTCTTGGGCTGACGACCAGGCTACGCAGCGGTCGTCACAGGGTTACACCTTCAGCCTTGGTTCCGGCTCTGTTTCGTGGCGGGCTACCCGCTCGTCTTCTGTTCTCGGCTCCAGTTGTGAGGCTGAGATCTACGCCGGGGCTATGGCTGCACAGGAGTTACGCTGGCTCACCTACCTGTTGACCGACCTTGGAGAGCCGCCTCGTTCTCCTCCAGTCCTGTACGTAGACAACAAGGCCATGCTGGCCTTGTGTCGAGAGCAGGGACTTGAGCACAGGACAAAGCACATTGCTCTCCGCTACTTTCTTGCTCGTGAGCTACAGCAGCGTGGACAGTTGCGACTTGCGTACGTGGCCTCTGAGGCCAACACTGCTGATGTCTTCACCAAGGCACTTGCGCCTTGTGATCATCAGCGTTGCTGCACGCAGCTGGGCCTTGTGCCTGTCTTGCCTCACTTGCTCACTTCTTGACCTTGCTTGTACCTTGACCTATATATACTCTTGCTCTTGCTTGCTTGACTCTTGTATATCTCTATATATGGTCTTGCATGTGAACTGGCCTTGTGGCCCTTGAACTTATGCTCGGAATGTGTGGTGACTTTGTGATCCACCCTGAGCTTTGCTTTGTTTTGCTTGACTGGTCTTGTGACCCCTTGTTCTCCCCCACTTTGCCTATGGGGGTGTGTCAGAATATTATAGCTTACTTATTTGTGTAGGCTATAGTAGGGTATCCCATAGGGGGTACAACCCAACTAGGGTTTCCTATTTGTATTCACTTCATTCGTAGTCATTTCATTCACGTTCCTTTCTTCACAATATACCCAAGTTATTCTGATTGATTGAAATGCAATAATGCTAATATACCGGTACCCAAGATTCGACGTATGGGTGGTAAGTCTAATTTATATCATAAATATATTTTGTAGTTCGTTTTATTTATAGGAAGCAATACAATTTCTTAAAGCAATACGATTTTTTTCCCTTTAGTTATGTTACAATCCCAAGTGGGACTTAGCGAAGGATCGCTCAGGGTTGATCGCAGAGTAGTGTTGCAGCGAAAGTTTGAATCTCAGGTCAGAGTGAATGTAAATGACTGAGTTGATAATAACATGCATACATCTGGTTTATATAAGAATACAGGGGAATACGAAAAGACATAGGCTAGCCATGTACTCTAAGGGGTACATTCCCTTATTACAACAATTTCAAACCGTGCGGTGCGGGAACCCATTTTGAACCTGTTCCCGCTCTTTCCACTTCAAATGTTTCTGCCTACATCGGTCTTGGTCAGACGGTTGCTGCGTCGCTTCGACTCTTCTGACTCCTCGACTTCGTACTCGGTAGAGTCGGCTCCTGCAGCATACAGGAATGCCTTCTCATAAAACTTCATATCGTAACACTCCCCTTCATTCCTGGACGCGGGTGGAGCTGACTCGCTTGACTACTCTAGTGAGGTCATGACAAATCATAATGTTCTGTAGGCTGTGACAAAATTAGAAGAAAGAAAGAGGGATTTGACTAGCAAGAATGGGGATACAAATAGCAAACCCTAACAGGGTTGTACTCGCTATAGAGCACCCCACTACAGGCTAGATGAGAACATTCTAACACACCCCCATAGCCAAAGTGGGGTGTAATCAGCAGAGCAAGCAAAGCAGTACAAGCTCAGGGTGGATCACAATGTCACCACACATTCTGAGCACAAGTTCAAGAAGCAATAGTTTAAAGTTAAGAATTATGAGCAAAGCTAGAGGCTATCGCAGAGGGCAAGTGAGGAGGAGGAGGCGAGAGTGAGAGGAAAGGAGATAGGAGGCGACGGATGAAGCTGCAGACACACGGGCAACAGGAGGCAGACTGGCACAGCGGCTACCGGACGAAGCCCCCGGACTACAGGGGTAACTGGCCCCGCGGCTAAAGTAGCGGCAGACGAGCAACGGACCCACGGGCGGCTGGCACAGCTGGCTACGACTGAGCTACCGGACGAAGCCCTCGGACTACAGGTGCTGCTAGCGACACAGCGGCATCCTTCATTCAGCTCCCCAAACAGTCTCACCCCCCCTTGCACACACCCCCTACTACACCCCTAGGGTCACTCACACCCCACCCCCTAGCACGACTCCGTCGACTCCCACACACCCACCCCCCTCAGCGGCAGCTGCAGCAGTGGGAGACGGAGGAGGAGGAGGAGCAGGGGAGACCACACACCCGCCACCCCCATACTCGCCACCCCCTACTCGCCAGTCCCCAAACCCTAACTCAGGCAGGGCGGGATGGCGGGTAGGGAGGTATGGTATAAATAAGATGTACACGGTATGGTATAAATAAGATGTACACGGTATGGTATAAATAAGATGTACACGGTATGGTATAAATAAGATGTACACGGTATGGTATAAATAAGATGTACACGGTATGGTATAAATAAGATGTACACGGTATGGTATAAATAAGATGTACACGGTATGGTATAAATAAGATGTACACGGTATGGTATAAATAAGATGTACACGGTATGGTATAAATAAGATGTACACGGTATGGTATAAATAAGATGTACACGGTATGGTATAAATAAGATGTACACGGTATGGTATAAATAAGATGTACACGGTATGGTATAAATAAGATGTACACGGTATGGTATAAATAAGATGTACACGGTATGGTATAAATAAGATGTACACGGTATGGTATAAATAAGATGTACACGGTATGGTATAAATAAGATGTACACGGTATGGTATAAATAAGATGTACACGGTATGGTATATACACGGTATGGTATAAATAAGATTTACACGGTATGGTATAAATAAGATGTACACGGTATGGTATAAATCAGATGTACACGGTATGGTATAAATAAGATGTACACGGTATGGTATAAATAAGATGTACACGGTATGGTATAAATAAGATGTACACGGTATGGTATAAATAAGATGTACACGGTATGGTATAAATAAGATGTACACGGTATGGTTGCACATCATGACTTGTGCTTGTATGTATGTACCTGCGAGAAACACCAGCTTTTTCTTGTCAGAATCCTCCACCGTATGCAGATGTATTTCCTCTATTGGGCACTAAACTGATTATTTTCTTCCTTCCAGGTTTTGTTTTCCCCTTAACGTATATGTGTATACATATATACTTGAACCAATCCAAAGGCATCATGGATTTTCTTTTGCTTTTTCAACGCCTTTTCGTTCTGCTTCTCCCGCTCAATTCTGGACCTGTGGTTGCTACTCACGGGTGCTTCGGCTGCCATCGCCCCCCCTCAGTCCACGCGCACCATCATCACCAAGGAGGTGCGCCTCTCACCTTGTCTGTTTGGAGATTGAGGTGTGCTGTAATTCGACCAGCACACACCTTTTGAGTCAACTCAAAACACGCCATCGCCCCCCCCCAGTCCACGCGCACTATCATCACCAAGGAGGCGCGCCCCTCACCTTGCATGCCCTAGGCGCCAGCAGGCAACACTCTCCTTTGCATTTCCTCCACTTCCTGTGCAAACAAGCTGGTGCTAATCTGCTTCCTCCAGAGCTTTCATTCAGTTTGCACACATGTCACCCCTGTTCTTGTCAGCTGTCACCTGCTTTCTTGTGTCTCCCTCCTAAATGCATTTCCATTTTTTATCTCGATTGTCCCCTCTCCACCCTTCTCCACCACTCCCCACCCTATCAGGTGGGCATGGGTGACCCTGTGACCAGGGCGCTGGGCTTCATTCTCAAGTTCTTCCACATCAGCCTCAACGTGCCGCTCGTATCACAGGTAACCACAACCTTGTCTCTCAACTGATTCTCAACGCTCTCTGCTCTCAAGGCCGTTCACATCACATCCGCCTAAACTGCCTCTTGTGCTGCACGCCGCTGGTCTCCTAGTCTGCCACCACTCGTCCTATCACAGATTGTTGTTCCGATGGTATGTGAAAGATGCAGTTGTTGATGCGGTCGCCCCAATTATCCCCTCAACCATTCTCCCACTCCACCTCGTTCTTGTGTTTGAAGTGTAGTTATGAGACGTCTCAAACTTCAAGCACTTCAAATCTTCAAAACTACTCTCCAAACACGTGCCCACTCCACCTCGTTCTTCTTGCTTCTTCATCCTTCCTCGAGCGGTCGTCCAATGTGATTCTGATGGGTGCTTGCATACATGCCATTCCCCCACCCCCACCTCCACATGCTCAAGTAGTCTCCCATTGCTCAGTCGGTCGTTTGACACAATTCACAATCAGGTTGCGGACTCCACTTGGGTCTAAAGAAAAAGAGTAGCAGCAGAACGTTCTTTTACGCCCATTCTTCCTTGTGCTCGCATCTTCCTCCTCCCTCCCGATATCTCATTCCCATAACTTACACATAAAATACACCCACCCACCCCCCCTCACACCCAACTACCTGCATGATTTCCATATTGTCCCCTTTGCAGTACGTCTCGCTGGTGTTCATAGGAATCCTTATCACTGTCTCCATTAGAGGCTTCCTCACTAACCTCACCAAGGTAAGTGGCCAACTGTTAGGGCTCACTCACCTATGTTTGTGCCTCTTGTTAAGTTGTCAGAACTGCCGCCTCAGAAGTGGGCAACCCTTAGGGCTCTCCTTGGGTTGTGCCTTCGGTTGAGTTGTCAGCACCGCCACATCCGTCATGTTAGCCTCCGCCTTGCCTTCATTCACCTGCTCACTCTTTTCGCGTCTCAACGTATATGTCCTTCCATACTCTTCCCCTCTCCCCTCGCTCACCACTCCTCCCCTCCCCCTCCTCCGCACCCCTTGCATTTCCTCTCGGCAGTGTCAGGAGGGGCCAGTTGGGCGTCAGGCAGTCGCTTTTCAAGTACCTTCCCTCACCACTCCACCCGCCACCACCCCCAGTTCCTCTCGGCAGTGCCAGGCGGGGCCAGTGGGGCGTCAAGCAGCGCGGTGCTCTTTATGTTATCATCCCTATCCCTCCTCCTTCCCTCCATACTCCTCCACTCCCCTTCCCCCCCCACCCCTTGCAGTTCCTCTCAGCGGTGTCGGGCGGCGCCAGTGGAGCCTCAAGCAGGTAGTTTATTCTCTTCAAGTACCCACCCTCATCCTACCCACTTTCCCTCACCACTCCACTCCCCATCCCTCTCCAGTTCCTCTCAGCAATGTCAGGGGGCGCCAGTGGGGCGTCAAGCAACGCAGTGCTCTTCGTGTGGTCACCCTCATACCCCCCCCCCCATTCCTTCTCTCCAGTTCCTCTCAGCAGTGTCAGGCGGCGCCAGTGGGGCGTCCAGCAACGCAGTGCTCTTCCTGGCGGAGATCATGGGCACCTACTTCGTCTCATCCATCCTCCTTATAAGAAATAGCCTTGCGCTGCAATACAGGTGAGCACCTACTTCGTCTCCTCCATCCTCCTTATAAGGAACAGGCTCGCACTGCAATACAGGTGCGCACCTACTTAGTCTCCTCCATCCTCATAAAAAACAACCTCGCGCTGTGATACAGGTGTGCATGGTAGAAACCCTGGCTTATGTGAGACCTCAATGCAGGTGCCTGGATTTTTCATCCTTACACTTAACTAATTCACACCACAGCAGCACTTATCCATATATGCACACAATTGGGCTCATTTTGTTGTCTTCCTGTCTAATTGTGTACACAAGGTTGCTTATAAGCAGTCTAATTGCCAGCTGGTTCCTGTTTCACATCGATACCCGTCATTCACCTGTGTTCATTCCACTCACTGTTACCTGCCGGGGTTGTTGCACTTCATTGTTACTTGCCATGCTTGTTGCACTTCACTGTTACTTGCCATGTTTGTTGCACTTCATTGTTACCTGCCATGCCTCTTGCACATCACTCCTACCTGCCATGTGTGTTGCAGGCTTCTGATCACGGAGGTACTCGGAGGCGACATTCAGTTCAACTTCTTCTATAGGTGGTTCGATGCCATATTTGTTGCCAGCTCTGTCATCACCATTGTGGTTTTTGCTGCTCAGCACACTTCAAAGCGAACAGACAAGCACCCCATTGATTAAAGCAGATGCCTCTGGTATGACTAATAGCGATAATAAGGAAGAGACTGTTCTAACAAGCAGTCATGAGTACTTATTTTAAACATACAGCTCCCATGGCATTTAGCATATCCACAAAATTGACAGATACCGTAAGATTGATACAAATTATAGGGGGTCATTTGACATGTCGGATGTGTGATGGCTTCAGCCATCAGGCATTAAACATGTTTTAAAGCCCACAGCCCAGGTTGCACAAGATTAGTAATCTTGATGATGTTGGGCTGAGAAAGCCCTTAAGGATCTTTGCAGAGGATAACTCTGGGTAGGATATTTGTAATAGCGGAAGCGTTTTAATGAAGTTTGTGAACCGACCTTGCACTAGTGTGTGAGAGCAAAGTGGATTAAATTAAACAAGCAAATACAAGGTTTTATATAAGAGTACAGGGAATACGAATGGATAGATAACTGTATTTGCTGTTGCGATTCGAAACAGTGCGACTCGGGCAACTGCTCTGTAACGAGTCAGTTGTGTGTCCTTAACTGTCGCGCTGTAATTGTCGAGTCAAAGGTCGCTGACCTTTGACTTTCCCGTAACCTCCAGGCGGTTACCCTAACCTCCGAGGTTTGACTCGATGCTTCGATTCGGACTGCTTCGCTAGTGTCTTGGGTTTTGACACGACAGAAGCGCACTAAGACTTATTGTTTCCAACACTCCCCTTCGCTTCTGGAGTGTCGCCGCAGGTGACGTGGCCTTGTCCAGTCAGCAGCATGCAGTATTCGAACTTCTGCTTTCCGAGCTTCTTGGTCAAGTAATCGGCTGCCATCTCAGACGTGGGACAGTATGACAGATCGAGTTTCCCCTTTTCGATCTCGTCCTTCACGAAGAAATAGCGCAGGGCGATGTGTTTCGTCCTGTTTGCGAAGCCGTTCTTGTTGGCGATGCGAATTGCTGACTGGTTGTCGCAGAACACGGTGAAGCTGGGTAACTTGGCTAACTTCGCTTCTTCCAGCAGTTCGCGAAGGTAAAGTCCCTCCTTGGTGGCTGAGCAGAGTGCAATATATTCCGCTTGAGCTGAAGACAGTGCGATTAACTCCTGCTTACTCGACTGCCAGGAGATAGGACCGATAGGTTCGAGGCGGTAGACATAGCCGGTGCGTGAGCGCCTATTGTCGGTGTCGCCGGCGTGATCGGCGTCGACGTAGCCGATTAGCTTGATCGGTGTAGTTGCGTTTTTGTGATAAGTTAATCCGATCGTCGCGATGCTGACGAAATAGTGGAGAGCGCGATCGAGTTCCGCCAGATGCTCTGCTTCAGGCTTCTTGAGATAGGTGGCGAGCTGGCTCGCGGAGTAGGATAAGTCGGGACGGCATGTGACTGCTGCGAAGAGAAGACATCCGAGCTTCTTCTGGTAGTCGCGTATGCCGGCGGGCTTGAGTAGGGTAGATCGTCCCTTTTCGGTTCCTGACGTGTAGCGGTAAGGCGTGGAGATGGCGCTTGGTGTGAGGCTGAAGCGTTTCGCGATGGTGTCGGCGTACTTCTCGGCGCTTAGATAGATTGCGTTTTCTTCCTCGCGGATGTTGAGCCCGAGGTACTGCGTAACGGTAGAAGAGACTGTGAGCGTGAGGTCTTTCTGAAGCTCCCCTTCCAACCACGTGGCGATGCCGTCGGTTGACCCAATGTAGAGGAGATCGTCCACGTAGACGATTAGGAGAACGTAGTCACTTCCCTTTGTGAGGCGATACATGCCCTGGTCATGCGGGAGTTGTTTGAAACCGATGCGAATGAGGCGGGCGTGTAGGTACTGCTGCCACAGTCGCGGTGCCTGCTTGATCCCGTAGAGCGACTTAAGCAGTTGACAGACTCGGTTGGGTTCGCCGTGGGAGCCGTGCGGGAGCTCGACGAAGATTTCTGCATCCACAGGTGCGTAGAGAAATGCGTTTGCGACGTCGATTTGTCGCAGTTTCTTTTTCTTCATGGCGGCGACGGCGATGAGGATTCGGAGTGAGGTGTGACGGCTGACCGGAGCGAAGGTTTCGGTGTAATCTCTTCCGTGCTCCTGGTCAAAGCCGCGCACGACCCAGCGAGCTTTGAATTTGTCGATGGTGCCGTCAGCTTTCGTCTTCACATGGAAGACCCACTTCCCGGTAAGGATAGTCTTGTTTTGTGCTACGCCGATGGGAACGATTTTCCAGGTGTTGCGCTCCTCCAGTGCCTTCAGCTCTTTGTCCATGGCTTCACGCCATTTCTCCCTATGTTCCCCCTCCAGAGCCTGTTGAACCGTCGCAGGCTCCTTAGGTATGGCGGCGCCATGGACTGCGGTGACGAGACCAAGGATTTGCAGTCCAGTCTGTGAGTATCGAGGGAGTTCTGGATCCTCGGGATAAGCTGCTTCGTCTCCCACTTCTGGGTCGGGTATGAAATTAGGCCCTACCCTTTCTGCTTCGTTGGTGTTGACTGTCGCAGGTGTTACGTAGCCATTGTCGGCGAAATGGTAGAAGACTTCGGCGTTGTTACTGTCGCGAGGATTTTCCTCATCCATGGGCACGTCGACGGAGCAGTACGGAAGAGGTCCGGCTTCCTCCGATGCGTTGTCGACGTTCTGCTCATCCCAGTCTGCTTCATCCGCTGCTGACGCGAAGGCTCGGTCACCACGAAAGCCACCGGTGAGGTCCTGATTCTCGTGCAAGTTGGCGAGGTACGTCTGAAGGGTGAGTCGTTCGTAGAAGATCACATCACGTGCTGCTACTGTTTCTTTTGTGTGGACGTCGAAGATTCTCCACGCATTGTAATTTTTCTCGATGCCGAGGTGTAGTCCCCACTGTGCCCTGTCAGAGTATTATAGCTGATGCATGTTTGTAGGCTATAGTGGGGTAGCACATCTGGGGTACAGCTTTCTAGGGTTGTATTTGTACCCAACTCTGACTTAGTCATTCCCATTCCTGTTCACTTGTTCCACATGGTATAGAGCGGGTCCTTCCTTAGGACCGTTTTTTTTAGGGCACACCGAAGCGCGCCCCGAGGCGCGCCTTTTTTTTTTAGCGACCCCTCGGGTCGCCATTTCCCTCGCGGCCCCGCTGTCCCTCAGACGCGGCCCCGCCACCTCTCCTGATCGCGGCCCCGCCGCCTGCTTGACGCGGCCCCGCCGCCTCCACTAACGCGGCCCCGCCGCCGGCTCTGACGCGGCCCTGCCGCCCGCTTCGTCGCGGCCCCGCCGCCTGCTTGACGCGGCCCCGCCGCCTCCACTGCCGCGGCCCCGCCGCCGCCTCTGACGCGGCCCTGCCGGCCCGCCGCTGCACCCTACGGCCCGCCGCTGCACCCTACGGCCCGCCGCCTCACCTGACGGCCCCGCCGCTGCACCTGCCGGCCCGCCGCTGCACCTGCCGGCCCGCCGCTGCACCCAGCGGCCCGCCGCTTCACCTGACGGCCCCGCCGCTGCACCTGCCGGCCCGCCGCTGCACCCTACGGCCCGCCGCTGCACCCTACGGCCCGCCGCCTCACCTGGTCGGCCCGCCGCTGCACCCTACGGCCCCTCCGCTGCACCTGCCGGCCCGCCGCTGCACCGGTCGACCCGCCGCTGCACCTGACGGCCCCGCCCCTGCATCTCCCGGCCGAGCCGCCCCAGCAGCCGAACCGCCCGGGACCCGAGCCGCCCTCCCGCCGAGCCGCCCGGGAGCCGAGCCGCCCTGCACCCGAGCCGCCCTGCCGCCGAGCCGCCCGGGAGCCGAGCCGCCCTGCGCCCGAGCCGCCCAGCCGCCGAGCCGCCCGGGAGCCGAGCCGCTGTGCACCCGAGCCGCCCGGTCGCTGAGCCGCCTTTCTGCAGAACTGCACGACCTGCCCTGCCTGGTGAGCACAGTCCCACTGACACTGCGAGCTCTTTCCCTACTGCTTGCACTGCGTCGCTGTCGTCGCCATGGCTACCCCTAGTGTCCTAGCTTTTGACGCTGAGGGTCGCGCCATTGATTTTGAGGTCTGGTTAGACGACCTGCAGCTGTTCTTACAGTGCGACAGGGCTGACGACCTTTCTCTCTTTGACCTCACCTCTGGCGCCTCTCCTGTTCCTGCTGCTGATGCTGATCCCACTGTCCGCTCTCAGTGGGCCACCCGCGATGCTGCTGCACGTCTTGCTGTGCGTCGCCACCTCCCTACCTCTGAGCGTGCGCACTTTAGTCAGTACAAGAGTGCTCAGACCTTGTACGACGCTGTAGTTGCGCGCTACTCCTCCCCTGCCACTGCTGCACTAAGCCGTCTCATGCTTCCCTACCTCTTTCCTGACCTCTCTGCCTTTCCCACTGTTGCTGACCTCATTACGCACCTCCGCACTAGTGACACTCGCTACCGCGCCGCCCTTCCTGCTGAGTTCTGCGCTAAGAACCCACCCCCCATGTACATCGCTCTCTACTACGTAGTCGCGCGCCTCCCTGACTCCCTTCGCGTCGTCAGCGACCACTTTCTCGCAGTCTGTCCCACCACCCTCACCGTCGACCTCCTCGAGAAGGCCCTCCTCGCAGCGGAGAAGAGCATAGTCGCTATAGGTGCTTCTCGTGGTGACCCTCGCACCCCCATCTTTGAGGGGTGCTCTCCTTCCCCCTTGCTGCCCTCTGTTGCCTCTGCTGCTGCTGCCGACCTGCTTGGTCTTGAGTCGGTCGGCGCGGCGTCTACCCCTAGTGGGAGACGTCGCTCCAGCAAGGGCAAGGGGGGCAAGGGCGCGGGTGGAGCTGGAGGGGGCGGTGGCGGTGGCGGCGGTGGCGGCGGAGGGAGTGGGGGTGGCGGCGGGACTAGTGGCGGGGGTGGTGGTGGTGGTGGCAGCAGCGGCGGAGACGGTGGTGGTGGTGCCAGCGGTGGTGGTGGAGGCAGCGGCGGAGGTGGAGGCGGCGGAGGTGGAGGCGGTGGAGGCGGCAGCGGAGGAGGCGGTGGTGGTGGAGGAGGTGGAGCTGGTCGGGGTGGTACCCAGCAGCGTAGCGGCGGTGGTGGTGGCCAGCGCTCGCAGCGGCAGCAGCAGCAGCGCTCGCGGGACATCCCT